AATTTTTGCGGAAATTTTACACCTGCTAAATGTATTGATTTCCGATTTGGCTCATTTGGTAACAACGTAACAAAATTTTTATCACATTACTAAATAATTTTTAAGTGTAGCCCATTTTACTCATAAATACATTACATACAGATTATTTTAAATAATACATTCTACATACATACATATTTGTATTACTTGAAAAAAACTACCTACCTCTAATATTTACAGAAATCCTTACAATCTAATGTGAAGAAAATAAAAATTTTGCAATATCTTAAGTAAAATTAATAACTTTAAAAACACAAACACTCATTCCCCCGAGTCTAAGTTCAGAAAATAACTTCTAAGAACAAATTTCAGTGGTCTTTGGGATTATCGTGAACAATAAATATTCCAAGAAAAAAGTTGTTTTATGAAACAACCAAGTTTTTGAATTATTCATGACACAAACCTTGTTTCAAATTAAAAATTAGGATGTTTGATGGTAACATCTTTGACATTTTTCCCCACAAATTTATTTATGAGTTTAAAAGAAACAACTTTAAACGAAGTTGGATAAAGTTCAACACAGGAGTTTATTCTTGTTAATTATACGACTTATACAGAGTGTCCCATGAGTAATAATGAGCCTGATAAAATTTTTGAAGCAGCCAACATTACATTTCATAGATAACGTAAATACTAAAATGTTTCGTTTGAATTAGTTAAACATAGTAATCGTATTTTTACTTTTGATAAATTTTTATCAGTCAAAGTGACTTTACTCCAGTTTCAGAAAGTCCGTCTATTTGGATATCGCGCTGAATAGAAACGTGCAGTCTGTGAAGAGTTTTTCAAACATTTTTTTATAAATGAGAATCTTGTTGGTCTTTTCGTCAACATTTAAGTAATTCTCACCAAATTCTTCAAGGTTTGACATTTTATAAATTAAAGTTGAAGTGCTGTTTGGTCACTATGTTTAATTTATTAAAACTAAATATTTAATATCCACGTTATCTTTGAAATGTAATTTTGGTTGCTTCAAAAATTTTTTCAGCCTCATCATTACTCGTGGGACACCTGTATTATTTTTCAAAAAATCACATTCTATTTTGTGTTAGAATTTAGAATTTCTTCAGGAATTAAATATTAGGCTCTACGAAAAACAAACAACATACCTACAGTCTCTTAATACATCCAATATTTTGACACCGACTGACAACTCGACGAAACGGATTGTCTCAATACACTTTCCAGGATATTAAAAATAGCCACTGCTCCAATTTGCTTGGCATTTTCAGCTGAAATCATCTCTTAAAGCAGTAACGCTAGTTAACTCGCAATGATCCGTTGAAAAATAAAAGCTAAAAAAACTATCTCCATGGAACCATAACGTCCAAAGAAACGGTATAATTAAATCCCGTTTTATCAAAGCAACAAAACACTGTAAAAGGTATGCCAATTTAACAGCCTGCGGGTAGTTTTATATAGTGGCTGATTTTTTCCAAAGAAACACAGCGTCTGGGTCTCACAACACCCACGCTTCTTCGTGACTCGCCCACAAAAACAAAGACTACAAAAGAAAGGAAAAATGATCACGACGTAACCACTTGGTACAAACAATTATTTTCATTACAAGCGGCTTTGCATTGCTTAATTAAATCTTTTGAGAATAAAACTGAAACGAGACAAATATTGGCGACCTTGGATAAGTTTGCAAGAATTTTAGGGGAATTTTTATAGGTAAAAAATAAACAAACAGAAGACTAATATTTGACAACATCGCATGCAATATCAGTCTTTTAAATATTTACTCGATGTGAACACGACAGATGTTCTTGTTAACATCGGCTTGTTTTAAATTTTTATATTTTCACTCTTGCATTTTCGTCATTCAAATTGTTCCGAAAATCTAAAATATAAACAGAACTTCGGTCCAAAATTGAGCTAAAACTTTACATCCAGAGTCAGAAAAATGTCAATTCCCAAGCATTCTACTTCTACAAAGTTCCAAAGCAAAGCTAAAGAGGTTTTGTTAAAGTTATCAAAGACATTTCGCACCGCAAATCTCAAATTTATTACATTTGTTTTAATTTTAATTAAAATTTCTTCACTGAACAAACCATCCTAAGTATTTATTAAAGAGAAGGGTATCAAAGCAACTATAGGGAATACACCCAAAGGATAAGAATTGAGGATATGAAAGAATGTGGAGAAAAACAAATAAAACAGCAGTGAGCAATTTTGGGTAAATACACACGAGACGGGTCAAAAAACCGTTTTTCTCATAGGGTTGCCCTAAAACCAAACAAACATGCAAATATATCGGCGTCAACGTCAAATAAATTTCCTCTAAGACCGTAAACGAGTGTGACCCTTAACTTTTAAACAAACTGAAAGGACATCTGAAAGAGAATACGACAATTGTGTTCAAATATGAATAACGATATCCATTTCCGGACGTAAAACAACTCGCTTACTATTAAAATATGAAAATTTGCATTTAAATTGTAGCGGTCTTAAGTGTACTTAGCAATTGTTGTAGATTCAACAAGTGTCATTCTTTGGAGTATTGATTTAATCCGAAACATAATTTCAGCAAAAAGCAAACAAATGAGTGATCATAATCATTAGTTATTATTGATCGTGGAGGTGGACACAGACGGGCTAACACGAAAAAAGCACAAAATGCAGCAATCAAGATCTCAAGCTTTCAAGCATAATAAATTTTTCCTTTCGTCTTTGTTCTCTTTCAGAATGACGAAATTGTGCACTTTAATACATCATGTATAAAACTAAGAGGTTGATATTGTGAATTTTTTGTAAAATTTTCTATTTCAGCGTGCGATATTTTGTGAGCATGTACGAATCTTTTTTTTTTTGTTGCGATGAACATTTTTTTGTTCAATCAGTCTTCAACCAGCAATTTGTAGCGAAACGTGTGATTTTTTTGATCACATGTGATTCTTCTATTCCTACGAGCGATTTTTTGTTAAAATGTTGATCATATGCGTTTTTTTTTCTAATTTTTTATTTAATCAAGCAATTTTGACCACGACCTATATTTCGTTCAATTTATTGTTCTAACTTCCATAAAAATCAATGTATAGCAAACACTATTAGGTACATTTAACTTACGAATAAATATTTTTTAGGTTTTAAAATACCTACTCAATGTTGTGCATACTAAGATCGCTTTTCGTTAGGTATTTGCTTTCAACACTTATTTAAGAGGTAATTGGCTCAAATTACCTCGTTTCCTAGTCATTACACTGTCGACAGAGTAGATTATTTAAACAAAATTTTTACAAGGCGTTACTCTGCCCATCCCAGTTATACAAGGAAGAGAATGATTTTCCACCTAAAAGGAGATAAAGTAGGTGGTATTATGTTCCATAAAGCATCATCAACGAAATCATCTTTCATCGTTAAAAATAGATGCAGAATTACAAAACAATAAAAAACAAAAAATTGAAGTATTATTTCTAGAGTGTCAACAAAACAATTTGTGTTTACTAACGCTGTTTACAAAAAGATCGTTCATGCAGTTGCCAAACGTAATAAAGGTAAATTTTCCAATTTGAATTACAGACTCTAATTAAATGATGTGGCAATAACATTCTAACAAACAAGCTCCATCTGTTTTTAAATCACTCTCCAACAACATGTTACCATGATTCAAAAATCATAGTCAAAAAGCAACTTCGCTTTAAAAATAATAGTTATTTTCGTGCCTTCTGTAATCAAATGATCACTTCAATATGTTATCTAACACATTAATGACCACTTCCTCCTATACATAGGTGTGTGTTATTTTAAACAGATGTTTTTACGTTTCTAAATCTAATGAATTTGACATTCATGTAAACACATTATATGTATATCTGAAGATTTGTATCTGTTCACCGAATTTCTGGCTTAAATTAATACCATTTACCATTTTGACTCAGCCCAAACTCTTAATTACAAAAATTTAAATTTGTTTTAAAAAAATAACACTCTTTTAGAAAACTTTAACGATTTGTGTCATTCTGGTTATCATTAATTAAATCGTAAAGTCTATAATATGCAAATAATGTATTCATCTGGCATTTACTCAATAAGAGGCTCGAAACAAGAAAAAAATGCTTATAGATTTGTATCAGAAGATTCAATCAAGGTCGCCAGCAATAACTATTATGAAATGATGAGACGTGCTGTAATACAAATTGGTACTAATGTAATACTACGACTAGGCGACAGGGACGATGACCTCAAACTAACGGAAGACATTAAAGAGACCACATGGATAAAAATAAAGGGTGAAATCTACCACTCGTGAACAAATAAGTGTGCAATTTTCACAAATAAGTCCCATTTTTATTAAAAATTCAGAAAATGTTACTTAAATTCAACAAAATTAGATCTTATAATAAAGAAGAGCTGACCTAACTCGCAGTCATTAACAATAAAGTAATAATGTTCTTTTTTTCATACCATTTGCCTAAATCCAATAAATATTGAAAAAAACAATAACCCACATTCCACAATTAAAAAGGCAAAATAGAGTAATGTAGACTTTAGTTTGTATATTAATTATTGCAAAAGGTGCAAATTATGTACGTCGACAATATTGACGAAATCAATATGTATTATCTACCTACTTATCTAACCGGTAATAAGTATGAGATCATCAGACCCAACTGATGTTTATTTATTTAGAATTGTGTTATGATTGTTAAAACAAATTCTTTGAAATAATTCCAAAAAACTCTATAATCCAAGAAAATAAGTTATTACACATTTCAGGTCGACGTGGTTCTTGAGATCAAAAAAATCAAACATCAATTTTTTCGCTGAAACTAAATAATTAAATTGCGATTACGTCCGTGAAAGTAATTAATTAAACTTCACGCTGCGCCGGCAAACAAACAAAATTTACATCCCCGAACATCTGTTCATTTCACTTTCATTCTAGCAGCAGCGCAGTTGTGGAAAATATTGCTAAACACTGAAGGAAAATTCAATAACATACGTATGTACATACATACCTTAGGAGGAAAAGTCCATATGGCAAGATGTAAAATCCAAAATTAAAATATAGAAAATAAAAGCACACACGAAAACACAAAAAATAAGAGTTTACCAAAACAATCACAAAATAATAATAAACACTAGGAACAAACCACAAGAAAAATCGTCAAGATTGTTATAAACGAGATACCACTGTTACGTAAGTTGTCAATAAAAACATAAACACATGTTCGAGAGCAACTACAACACGATCAAGCACCACCTCTCCTCTCCGCGGTTTACAACGCACTGGTGAGGTGCGCGTCCGAAGAAAATCTCTATCGAAGACCTTGGCGCCCACGGCGCATATGTGGACGCTTGCGCCCAAATAACAAATACTGTCAAAATACTAATTTCATTAAAAACTAGTTTAATAAGAGTGAAAAAAAAAAGATTACCACAATTATATTACGCGTCTATAATACTAAAAATGATCTTATTTAAGTAAATAACCATGATGAAGTAAGCCTATACTGGTCTAAATTTAATGTTATCTAAAACTTTTATTTAGATTTTTTATCATCAGTACCTATCGGTTTATGTTTTATCAACTTACTTAAAAATAATTAATTTTTAAATAACAAAATTAACAGACGACCTCTGTTGACGAGCGCTCTTACTACCGCAAAAATGGAAACTGCTTGAATACGAGGAGTCGAAGACATTCTTTTTTATTGATCGAAATGTTTTAAACCTCTCTTTTCTATGTTTTAAACAGGTGTCGGCAAATTACGGCCCGTGAGCCAGATCCGTCCCGCTGTAGTTTTTATGAATGTCCCACGAGTAATAATGAGCCCGAAATTTTTTTGAAGCAACCAACATTACATTTCGACCTCCCAACGAAAACTATAGTAACTCATAAAAATTGGTTTTTGAGTACGATGGCAAAATACAAAAACTATGAATTTTTTTTTTAAATAAACAATATTATTACCAAAATTTAATTTAATTAATAATACACTCACTGGCATAATTATCGCATCACTTAAATTTTAGGGTTTAATGGCTAAAAGGTTCTGAAAATAATACTAAAATTGATGATATATGATTATCAAGTAACTCAGTCAACTATGGTTTAAAAAAAAATGGTGTAGACTCATTGTTTACTGACTAAATGTCAAATTATCAAAATCACCGCTAATTTTTGAGAGACAACAATAAAAAACTGAGCTTCTTTCCAGGCTCGAAGAGGCAATACTAGGTATTAATGATTGCCTCCGAAAGAAAAGCTTATCAAGCTAAGCTGATCCGCACGAAATTCGATTTTTCGTTTCTTTTGACAGTCATTAAAATGTAGTTTAATTGTTGAAGTTTAAGTAATTTTAGTTTAACTTAACGTTATTTCGTTAATTAATTAATTTTTGTTTCATTTATTTATTCATTATTTCAATAAAAAATCACTTTTCTATTGTGATGTGATAATTTTGCCGGTGAGTGTATTAAACAGAGAGTTCCTTTGATTTTTTATTAACAATCAAAGATTCAATGCAATTTTTCTCAAAACTGTAATTTTTGAGTTACTATAGTTTTCGTTGGGACAGTCGATGTCAAAGATAACGCAGATATTACACTTCAACTTTAATTTATAAAAAGTCAAACCTTGAAGAATTATTTGGTGAGAATTACTAAAATGTTGACGAAAAAAACAACAAGATTCTCATTTATAGAAAATCTTCGCAGGCTGCACGTTTCTATCCATCTATCCATCTATATTCATATAGACAAACTCTCTAAACCTGGAGTAGTCATTTTGACTGACAGAAGTTTGTCAAAAATAAAAATACGATTACGATACGATTACGATGTTTAACTAATTAAAACGAAATATTTTAATATCCACGTAATGTTGGTTGCTTCAAAAAAAATTTCAGGCTTATTATTACTCATGGGACATTCTGTATAGTCTTTACATAAAAAAAATTAAGCAAAGACACTTTCCTCCAGTGTAATACATATAATTTTTCCTACATTCCAACAAAAAAAACTTTAAAACTAACAATTTTTCTTAATATTTCAGTTTCACCATTAAACCTAGCAGCATATTGTTTTATTTCTATGAGAGGTTGAGGTGAGAGGTAATTGGTCACTTTTCTTTATGAAATTAAGTCGGAAAAACTTACTTTGTGTTAGCGTCATAGGAAAATAAAATTACCTAATTGCTCACTAATTTTAAACTTTAATTTATCAGATTTTTAAAATTTGATGTGTCAATCATAGTTTTTCTTTCTAGTGCTTTCTATATTTTTTTGATTTTTATAAATTGTGACAAAATTTGAAATTTTAGTGAAGAAAATTTATACGGTTGGTAAAGCTGCACTATTCGGTCTCTTTTGTGCCTATTCCAGCATTTGCTAAACAAACCAACGAGCAACGGACATGCGCGTCACCGTTTGACGTGCCAACGTCAAAATGGCAGGCACATTAGTAAGATTTACAAATGCAGCAAGAAGTCATTATGGTAATATTTAAACATTTTAGAAATTACATTTATAAACACTTTACTTAATATATAATTTTTGTTTTTGTACATTTTGTATTAATCTGTAGAGGTATGACATAACCTGATCAGCAACATAATGTTATATAATGTTGCAGGACTTGTTGCTGCAAGTTGCAGCAATGCCCAAGTGGCATTCTATTCGTCACCTCCTCCAGGCACTCCTCCACCTCAAACAAAAACAACATTTGGCCCACTTTCCGATGAAGATCGTATATTTACAAATTTGTATGGAAAACATGACTGGCGTTTGAAGGGGGCTTTGAAAAGAGGCGACTGGTACAAAACGAAAGAAATTTTACTCAAAGGATCAGACTGGATTATAAGTATGTTTATTTGAATTGAGAATCTTTGATTGTGATGACACTTATTGTAGACGAAATAAAAACATCTGGCTTACGTGGTAGAGGAGGCGCTGGTTTTCCCTCAGGAATGAAGTGGTCTTTCATGAACAAACCAGGAGATGGCCGACCTAAATACCTTGTTGTCAATGCTGATGAAGGAGAACCCGGCACATGCAAAGATAGGGAAATTATGAGGCATGATCCACACAAATTAGTGGAAGGGTGTCTTATTGCTGGCAAAGCAATGGGAGCGAAAGCAGCTTATATTTACATTAGAGGCGAATTTTACAATGAGGCATCAAATATGCAAGTTGCAATTGCTGAAGCTTATCAAGCTGGTTTGCTAGGCAAAAATGCATGTGGTTCAGGATATGATTTTGATGTTTTTATGCATAGAGGTGCAGGGGCTTATATTTGTGGCGAGGAAACTGCCTTGATTGAATCTATTGAGGGGAAACAGGGTAAACCAAGGTTGAAGCCACCTTTCCCAGCCGATGTGGGAGTGTTTGGGTGCCCCACAACTGTGACTAATGTTGAAACTGTGGCAGTATCGCCTGTAAGTGGGCCTTTATTGTTACATTTATTTTTCATCACCTAATCCCGGTCAAAAGTTGGACTATATCTCGTGTCATTGCTATCGCCACTTGTATTACTTTTCACGTTTTTCTGTCTAAAATAGTGGAAACTTCTGGCTCAAAATTTCTTAGCAGGGTTGAATTATCACACTAATTCTTATTTTACACAGAAATTAAATCTTTCTGAGTTATTCCTTCTCAAAAAACGCAGTTGTGACGTTGCCAGTGTGACGATAGTTATGGTACGAGGTTTATCTAATTTTTTTTCTTTTTGATTGCAAAAAAATAGAAAGTGTTTCAAAAAACAGTTGTACTAATTGAAAATTCTATAATTTAATTACTTCTCCTCTACCTAAAATCATATACCGAAAAAGGCATAAAAATTAGGTTAAACCATAGAGGAAAGTGAGCTTTGTCAAAGTCTTGAAGTTGTTTTAAATTTGTAGACAATTTGTCGCCGTGGGGGAACATGGTTTGCTTCATTTGGACGCACCCGAAATTCAGGAACCAAACTTTTCAACATTTCTGGACATGTGAACCGACCTTGCACTGTAGAAGAGGAAATGAGTATCCCCTTCAAAGAACTAGTGGAACGTCATGCCGGTGGTATCATTGGAGGTTGGGACAATCTTTTGGCCATCATTCCTGGTGGTTCTTCAACACCGCTTATACCGAAAAGGTATCGTTTTTCTATTTTTTTAATTTTTGTGTGAACAAAAATACGTTTCAGTGTTTGCGAGGATGTTATCATGGATTTCGACGGTCTTGTTGCTGCCCAAACAAGTTTAGGAACCGCCGCTATTATCGTAATGAACAAACAAACCGATATTGTCAAAGCTATTGCTAGATTGATCATGTTTTACAAACACGAATCTTGCGGCCAGTGCACCCCTTGTCGCGAAGGAATCAATTGGATGAATAAAATCATGTACAGATTTGTCGATGGCAATGCCAAACCCGAGGAAATCGACATGTTGTGGGAACTGAGTAAGCAGATCGAAGGGCACACCATTTGTGCTCTCGGCGATGGTGCTGCGTGGCCAGTTCAGGGACTCATCAGGCATTTTAGACCAGAATTAGAAGAAAGAATGAGGAAGTTCCATGAGCAAAATAGGAGCGCTGCTCGGTGTTAATTTGTAGCATTTCATAGGTTTAATTAACTTTGAAATAAAAAAAGCGAGGTTTACTTTTTAAGTATTTATGTTACAATGTCTAGAGATTTTTGAATTCTTCAGCCAACATATTGACAAATTTATCAACTGGGGCGCTTCAACAACTTTATTTTTGTTGTACGTTGGCATTTTATGAATTTTTACTTTTGAATGTAAATAATTATGTAATATTGAAGTGAATAAAATTATAGATCGAATCCTTGCACTTTAATTAAGGCGTGTAAGTGGGATGGTGTAATGACTACAAGGTTGGGTAATAGAGGGCGCAACATTTTCAAATGAATTCAAACCACTTGACTCAATGAGAAAAATAAAAATCCTTATTTATTGCAACACTATCAAATCATTTTCTGAAAGAAATGCGAATTACATCAGTACTTGAGACTTACGTATAATTACAATCAAAAAGTTTTAATGTTACTCTGATATTTGTAGTTTATAGATCTGTTTAAATACGCTGTGTATTTTCTGCTATAATTGAAAACATGCCATTGCAAATGTTAGTGTTACATAAATCTTTGAAATTGTGTAATATCCTTTCCAGTTATGATAAAAATGAAGTTTGCACATATGTTAAGATTATTTCTTATTAAACGTTCAATATCAAAAACCATTATGCTTTTAAACAAAGTTGAAGGTAACGTATTATGTAATCAGATAATCGTTTTCTTGTTTTGTAATTGCAATTTCATTAACCCCCGTTGTTAACAGAGTGGTGCATTTACTATCATTATTTTTTATTTATCTCACTCAATACTATTGACACTATGCGTTTTGTTTTCAACGAACAAGTAATGATTTGCGTTGCGATTTGTTAATTTTTATGAACACACATGATTTATATTTACATTGCGTTTCTCGTTTCTTTTTTTTTGTATTTTGCGTAGTTAAATTTAACACTTACGAAATATGATAGCAGTGTCACCTGCTTTCAGTTTTATTGTTTAGTTGAATCAATAATAAAATGATTATAAAATCAGCAAATGCTGCGAATGCATTTTGCTTAATCATATTGATGACAGACGTGAGAAAGAAATTTAGCAGTCTCATATCGTAAACTCACCCACTTTGCACATGGGCTCCGATACGTAGACGAGATAAACGTACTCTTCATTCCCAACGTAGTCACTAATATATTATTTGTACTATTTTATTGTAATATCAATTTACAATAAATTACAAAATGAGTTAGTTTTATTTTGGTAGAAAAAAACTACTTTTTATTCAAAAAATTAATACTTTACAAAATTATCGCAGTAATAGCGCATTGATATCCAATTTATTGGGTCACTTTTTTAAGCACTACTGACCGTATGTTGCAAATATGTAACTCTACCAATGTTGGCTTCCAAGGCATCACATATGGAATAGCACGCAGTTACTAATGAATTCTTCTGTTTTATGTGGTCATTACTGTATATATGTGATAATTAATGTCAACAGAGGCAAAGATTTTTATGATATATTATATTCTTTTAAACAGATACCGTGTCGTTTAAATGAGAATAGATTCGCCTTTGCGCGCAAAGCACTAGTCCCTTTCAGGGACGCTCACTCGTGATAATACCTACTATTTCAATATTTGAACGTAATTAAAAAAGTATATATTATCTATATGTTATAAATGGAAAAATATCTACAAAAACGCTTGTATGTATACAGAAAAAGTTACATATATTTTTATAAAATTGGGATCGGATTATCTATTAGTAAATTATTATTTAGTGCATCGGGATTATCTTCGTTAGCCCTACCTCCACTAGTTTGTTTATCTCTTGGTGCGGGGGTAATAGAAATATTAGATAAGAGATTAAAAATATCAGAAAGAATTGAAGAATATAAGTTGATTTATAAATTTTATCGACAGTTATTGCATTTATATAAGGCTGATAAAATAAATGAAAAAGAAATAAATTTACGTGAAGAGGAATTTGTCAGTAATTTTAATTATTTTCCCAGAGAGAAATACCTAGAAAAAGTCCACTTAAACGGGAATTGATAATTTCTTATTGTAATAAATGGCTGGCAATGCCAGCCCAGAGTCGAGGACGATGACAGAACCAAAAGAAATTAAATTATTTGATTTAAAGAATGATAAGAGGTATGATATTACTGCTATAAGTAAATCAGATGACGTTGGTCCAACTAATGGATTATTTATTTTTTATTTTAGAGGGAAACTTGAAGTTATATTTATCCGTTGTTGACTTATTTTCAGACTCTACAAAAATTAATAAGTTGTATGAGTTATATGACGCTGTTTCATATTTTCTTGATAAAAAAGAAATAGTGTTTCTGCAAAGAAATCATATAATCTTCAACTCTAGTGATTGTAAAGATTGTTTTTGTAATATAATTATTTCTGAAGATCTTCCCATTTAGTTCAATTTGATATTTAAATCGCGTTGTCCATGAGTCGACAGCGTCCAGGAATTTATTCTATTAAATGAAATATTTTATTCTTTTTCTATTTTTCACTACTGTAAAAAGTTCAGATGATGTTAATATTACAAGCTCACCCAAGCCTTACAATGAATCGAAGATTCAGAGTTATTTAGAACAATTTGGGTATTTAGAGAGTAATAGATCATTATTAACAGAAAAGTCTTTGACTAGTGTTTCGCATACCAATGAAGCATTAATAAGGTTTCAAGAATTCTATAATTTACCAGCTGATGGAACCTTAAATCAAGAAACACTTGCATTTATCAGTAAACCTGGATGTGGCGTTAAAGATAATCCAACAGCTTATAGAATTCATTATCAAAAATGGAATAAAACAAATCTTAAATGGTATTTTCCGTTAGCTACAAACGAGATGAAAGAATTAGCACAAAAAGCCTTTGATCAGAGGGAATCTGTTTCAAATTTAAAGTTTGAGTACTGGCACAGCCAGCCTAGCGCCGTAGGCGAGTACAATAGTGTTAAACCGGACATACTTATATCATTTTCTAACACGTTGTTTCAGCATAATCATAATTCACGTTGTCAAAAAGGAATATGTTCTAAAAGTTTTGATGGAAAGGGTAATATTTTAGCTCATGCTTTTTTTCCAAATGAAGACGAATGCCGAGGAATTCATTTTGATAAATCAGAAAATTGGTATTTTGGTGAATTGAGCAATACACGTGATGATCAAACTAATTTTTATACTGTATTGAACATTCTGCAAATAATAATTCAATTATGTACGCCTATTATAAAGGTGATATTGATAAATTAACTCAAGACGATATGTGGGCAATTCAATATTTATATGGACGACCTGAACGATTAAAATATGAATTAATACCAACAACAACAACAACAACAACAACAGTTAAACCTACTGTAAGCAAAGTCTGGCAAAGCGCCCCTGAAGTCGGAGTAAAAGATACTGTTGGTAATTCGTCTTCGACTCATGAGCCTATGGTGAATTTATGTGATTTTAATAAAGAAATTGACACATTTTTAATTGCATATTTTTTATAAGAAGTATGTTTGGTTAGTCAATTTAAAAGATATGACTTATGACAAAGAACCGAAATTAATTAAAGATTATTTATATTTTTTGCCTGATGATTTTAAAGAAGTTTTGCATATTTATCAAAGACCTTCAGGTGATGTTTTAATAGTTGTTAAAATTTTATATTATTTAATTGATTTTCCAAGTTTTAATGTTAAAAGTGGATACAATGGTCAATCCTTTGAAAATTTAGGAATACCAAAAGGAAAAAGAATTGATGCGATATTTAGAACTTATTCTGGAAAAACATATATATTTTATGATAAAGTTTTGTATATTGAGTTTGGTGAGTGTTTCTTTAGATCAAAGAAAAACGGCCTTATTTCAGAATTATTTGCTGGAATACCTCCAAATATAAGCAGAGCATTCAGATATAGAAATTTATTTTTCTTTAAAGATAAAATGTTTTATGAATTTGATGATATTTCGAATACATTAGTTAAATCTGATAAATTTGACTTGACAGTTTTTGGATTTAAATGTGGTCTTATCGATCAAATAATAAAACTAATTAATCGTCTGTGATTCTTATAATCGCGTTTTTCATCCTTCAGGAACGAGTTGGAAACTTTCCCAGTCGTCAGATCATCAATAAATCCCATAAATTCGAGCAAACCGCATTCGCATGCGAAGCACTAGTCCGATTTGTGTACGCATGTTCGAATATTCATGGACGTAGTCCATTCATGAGCGAAACGAATTCGCTTAGATGAAACCTTATTCATTTTTGTGCTCAAGTGGCCCAATGGAAAAACAGAGCAAAACCTTTGAAAAATGTTAATTTTAAAATACACCTTTAAAACGGGGGTGTTTTCACGACTTTTTCTGCTTTTCAGTTTACCCTTGAAAATCGGGGTATTCTCACGATTTTTTCTGCTTTTCAGTTTACCCTTGAAAATCGGGTGTTTTCCTCAAAAATGTTAATTTTAAAATACACCTTAAAATCGGGGGTGTTTTCACGATTTTTTCTGCTTTTCTGTTTACCCTTGAAAATCGGGGTGCTTTTCTTAAAAAGTAGCTGTGTGCATAGGGGCCCTTATACTACTTACTGAAAGGAATTTAATTCTACAAATGTTGCTGTCTATGTGATGCTTATGTTCCTGCTGTATTGTTATTATTACTTATTATTATTGTTTGCGATTAATAATAAGTGATAATTCTTTAATCTCTTGTGTAAGTGTGCACTTTTCAACTTTTCGGCTACTGCTGATACATTTCTTACAATGTTTAACATATTAAATATTTTTATTTATGATTTCTATACATTTGAGAGTTTATATTTTTAATAAGGTTTTTCATTCAACAAACTTCTCGTTTGCAATACACTAAAAAATGTTATATAGCACCACAGTTTGATAGATAGTTTGGAAATGAGAATGACATTTTAAAACACTACTCACTTGCCAAAATGCAAAACTAACATTTAAAAGAAACAAAATAGAGCAAATAAATTAGGCAAAGTTGATATGAAATAGCCCTGTCAGAATGATGGATTTGTAAGCTAAAATACCAAACTGTTTTGATCACATTGCAATATTTAGGTGCGTGACATAAAAGATAATGTAATTTAATGTAATCTGAATAAAAAGTCCAGGGTTATATTATAATC